AAAAAAAAGAAATTGAAATTTTGCCCATTTCTTTAACACCAAACTCAGCATCCAAAAAAGGTAAATGCTATTTAGTCATTATATGATTCTTTAATAATTCTACATTTGATTTTATCTCATTATCCTCTGACTTCCACATGTTGCTTGTCCTTATATTTAACACGTCAACATATTTAATAAGCATCATTTATAGAGTCTATGTTTTTCCAAATTCTTTCAAATGTTTATTGATTTTACTCATCATTACACACATATGAAGTACATATGACAGCTGTGAAATGTGTAGGCTGCTGTGAAATGCATAGGGCAGCTGTGATTATTTCACATTTTAGAAATAAGACAGTTTTATTGTAGCTAGAATCAAACTCTTTTTACTTGAATTGTGTACTCTTTCCTTTTATCAATTATTCCTCCTTGAGGAAAGAGTGTGTGAATCATGTATTTTCATATTTTTTAAAGTGATAATACAGAGCATTTTAGGAAGGTAATAATTCCTAACAAATACTGGATAGATGGGTTAATCATCAAAAAAAAAAAAAAAAAAAAAACGAATATGTTGGAAGGGACAGAACACGTTGCATGAAATCAAATTGTTCTGCAGGTACTAAGTTAGAAAGAGCTTAGGTTTTGTACCAAGGACACCAGATACTTAATAAAAAATCTTGTTATGACAATATATTCTATTTTTTTTTTAATTTACTTAGTTAACCTTTTAGTTCTAGAAGCCACACACAGTCATGAATCACTTAATCACAGGAATACTTTCTGAGAAAGATGCTGTTAGGCAATTCCATCATGCCAGCATCACAGAGTATATTTACACAAACCAGGATGCTATAGTCTAATACACACTTAAGTTATACGGTATAGCTTATTGCTTCAACCACTGTGGTATATGTGGTCTTTTGTTTACCAAAATGTCATTATGTGGTACACAACTGTAGTTGCTTTTCTTATAGAGTTACTGTGAAGAGACAAGGGAGCTTAAGAGCTTTGGTGTGTGAAGAGCTCTACTGATGGGAAAAACTTTTCACAATGGCTTAGAAATAAGCAGAAGGGACCTATTTGGATCTAGAATTTCTGGGAGGGAAAGATTGTCTTCTGAAATAGTCAAGAATGCTTTAGAAAGCTGATTATACTGAAAGTGGAACAATAATCTACAAGTGGATTTGAAAACCGAGGACAATCATAATAAGTTTGTATAGAAGGCTTACACTAAAATGCTTCTTGAGGAAGCCCAGAGTTTTATCAGACAACCTTGAGGTGAGGGTGGGGTTGTTTACAGAGCCACCATTAAATTCAGAAGCATTTTGAAAATGCAGAGAACTGCCAATACAAATCCCAAGATAGGTCTTTCCTTATCTAGTCCTTACTTAATGTGTGCTAAATATATACTTGATAAATCATCCAGCAGTAGAGAAAGAATGTCAGAATCTCTCTTCACTTCTAGCATATTCTGAATGTGTGTGTGTGTGTGTGTGTGTGTGTTTGTGTATGTGTGCGTGGTGAGGGTACTATATTCCCCCTACCCTCACCTATCTCTGAAGTTGCCCCTAAATTCACTAGTGCCAAATTTAATTTGGGATACAGATTCCCTGACAAAAGAAAAATACACATATTTTAAAGTCAAAGATTAATGGTAATATGAAGAAAATATGTAATTTTATCACTACTTTTTGTAGTGACAATTGATTATGAGGCAAAAAGAGTCAAATCATCCAGAATAATTTCCTACCTCATGTGTTTTATCAGGCTTCAAAGCCAATTCACTGTCACAGTTATTTTCTTCCAAAAGACAGTCTTCGTATTATTGTTGAAAGCACGCTTTGTTCTTCACTCAAAAGAGGCTGAGATGGACTTAGTGTAAAAATCACTGGGCTAAGAGTCTGGATTCTTGACTTTATCACTGCTAGTTTAGTGACCTTAAGAATGTCACTGCACCTTCTGAACTTGAATTTCCTGAGCTGGGAAGTGAGGAAGAAGGTCCTGACTTTGTGCAAGCTTCAGCTTTCTATCACTCTAGAGTTTTGTGACATGAGTCACATGTGCTGTGACCAGCCCCCACCACCCAATACATTAAAATGGTTTACAGCTTTCCTTTTTACCAGTTTAGGGATATTGTCTGATTATTATCAGGGCATGAGATTTCTCAGCTCTAGAGGTTTGGTTCTGATTAGGAGACACCAGGGGATTCCTCTCATCTTTCTTCAGAGAGAGCAGAGAAAGTTCTCATCCAACTTTGAAATGTGCTCTCATTAGTTAAAGGCTTCGAGTAACTAGTGACTTGTAAAACTTTTCTGGGAATCCATGGGGATTTAAAACTCATGGCATTCATATTCTGCCAATAAATAAGGCTTACTGCTGATTTACAAATTTTATTTTCAGAAAAGGTGAATGAAAGTTGAAAAACAGTTGATCATTGTTCATTCATTTCACTCGCCCACTGACAAAGATGCTCTCCTTGACCAAACTTTAGTCGTGCTCCTCTAAGCTCTCTTCTTAACTAGACCTCTTCTCAACTAGACTTCAGTATCTGTCCTTTTTGGGCCTACACTGCCCAGGTGTAGCAAGACTTTCGCTAAGCCAGTTTAGAGAGAATACCCCACCTTTGGTACCTAATCACTTTCAATGTCTGATCAAATTTCTCACCCCCACCACCTTTCAGGTGAAATCTGATCATCCTGCCTGTATTAAGCTGGAATCCTGTTAGCTCAATTTAGTAAGAATAACCCCTTACCCTTGATGTCTCCTCTTGACAATTTTCTATTTACTGATCATGCTCCCCATTCCTTGGCTGTAGAGCCCCACTTTTACAAACTGTATTCAAAATTGAACCCAGTACTAAATTGAGGTTTATTTTCTGCTATTACTATAGTTTCTAAATAAAATTATTTTTGCTACTTTAATTACTATATAGCTCTGGTTTTCTTTGACACCACTCACCGCAGATATACCAACTCTTGACTTCTATTCATTGACTCACTATCTGGGTATTTAAGAATGACCTACAGTGTGCTAAAGACTGCAGTAAGCATTGTGTGAGAACTCAGAAATTATAAGGAGTGGTATCATTTTACATGGGATTTATACCTCTGTGTAAGAAAAAAGATAGTGCCCATAAAAAGTGAATTACACCACAGTATGGTGAAGACTAAAACAATGATCAAACAAGATAAAATTTAAAAAAAAAAAAAAAAAAAAACTAGACCAAGGTGGTCAGAGAAGTTGCCATGGATGAGAAATGCTGGAAAAGACTTCTAAAAATAATCAGGATTGGAATTCCAGTTTTTGCTTGGTTATAGGCAGTTCAGCACTTCCAATTATGCAATGACTATATAAAATTAATTAAATAAACATAATTCAAAATTATCAAAAGTGCATATATATAAATATTATAATAGTGAGATTATAAAATCAATTAAAGAATATATACAGATGGGAAAAAAAGCACTTCAAAAGATTCTCAGCATTATCATTCATTAGGAAATACAAATTAAAAACACAGAGTGATTCCACTACACAAGTATTCAAATATCTAAAATAAAATAAAATTGACCATAGTAGTATGAGTGAGGATTTGAAAGAGCTGTAACTCATACATTGTTGTTGGGGATGTATAAATTATAAAATAATTTAGAATTTTGGAAAACAGATTTTCAATCTCTTGAAAAGTTTAATTTATTCTAGTTCTAGGACAAAATGGTATGTATTTACTTTTATCTGCACTTCCTCTATAGATACAACTAAATAACCTGGAAACAACTCAACAGACAATCATAAAATGACTTTGAAAGGTGAAAAGGAAGAAGGTGGACTGGCTATAGATCTTAGGACTTGAAGAACAATGACACAGCGAGACATCTGTGATTTATTTTTATTCCCCATATATCCCTGATTAGAATGTGGGGAATCCTGCAGCCTACCTGGAACTGTCAACAAAAATAGGCAAAAACAAAAGAAGGCAAAGAAAAGTAAAATCTGTTCTCTCTGGCCAAAGGGCCAAGAAAGGA